GGTTTCTGAGCTGGTACCTCCAAGGAAGTAGATTGCCCCATCTTCCTTCTGAGGAGTGGCTGGTGAGTTTGAACCACCAGCCTCCTGGTTAGCAGTCAAATGCCTTAGGCATTACAAGACCAGAGTGCCTACATCATGTAGAAGAGGTATTTTTAGAACTCTGAAAGTTAAACTAATCAAAGTGAACACATATCCCAAACTGAAAATTCTAAACTCTGTCATAGCAAAGCACAGTCCGTAAAATGATAAGGTTAGAAAGTAATATCGGGACACTGGTGTAAGGAGTCAACATTTGTCAGTGTTCCTACAACACTGTCCAAGAGAGAGGGTCCCTGTCCCAAGGGTGGGCTCCTCCAATGCCTACAGGACACAAAGCCAAGAGAGAAGACTGAAACTTTGGGCTGTGCTGGCTGGATGGCATTTGCCCAGGGACTGACTACCATCAATGGACTCAGGCACCCTTGGCGATTACACATCTCACCACAGGTTCATATATTGGCCCTCTATGGAGCTCTGGTAGCATAGTGCCTAAGGCACTTGACTGCTAACCAGAAGGCTGGTGGTTCAAACCCATTAGCCACTCCTCGGAAGGAAGATAGGCAATCTACTTCCGTAGTGATACTGCCTCAGCAACCCAAGGAGGGGTCACTATGAGTCGGTCCGACTCGACAGCACATAACAACAACAACATGCACTCATTTATTTTGATTTGGATAGCTTAACTCTTGTCTGAGAGACAAATCTGAGCTAATTTATGTGCATTAATCAGAACCAGGCAGACTTTTGTTTGAGTGGTCAACTAGTCTCTCTTAGCAACATTTTTATTAATTCCTCCAACCAAGCACAAAGGTATTTATGGTCTGCCATAATTTCAGATTTTCCCCATGCATTACAAACATGCAAATGAAGTGTAAATATAAAATAAAGATGATGGATGATTTTTACCATATGCCACACTTTATGTATCCAAATAAATGTGGTCCTCTTCAAAATCCTCAACTTGATGGGTCTTTTATTACACATAATGATGCTTCCATTGCTCAAAATACTGATTCTCAAAATATGTATGCTTCTCTTTGTCTTAAAAGTTTGCAACGATTTTTTTTGAATGATAATACATGAACTTAGGTAGCACTTGGCTATTAACAAAGCAAATTATGAAAAAATAAGAAAACTCTTTATCCTTTCAGAGTGGATCTGATTTTGAGATACAGTCAAAAGTCATTTATAAGCAAGTCCATATGAGTAGGATGGGTAATATAATTTATTTTAATCTAAAGTGAATTATGGCCATAAAATAATGAAGGAGTCCCAGTGGCACAATAGTAAGTGCTTGGCTGCTAATGGAAAGGTCAGCAGTTCAGACCCACCAGCAGCTCTGTGGAAGAAAAGACCTGGAAATTTGCTCCCATAAGGATAACAGCCCAGGAAATCCTATAAACCAAAAAAAAAAAAAAAAA